CGGCGGGGTTCGATCGCTTTGTTTTTCCCTGGCTCCCACTCTCGGACGTCGAAGAAAGTTCGGAGCCGGTCGGCCCGGGCTGCAGGCGAGGCCTCCTCAAGGCAGCGGCCAGCGCTGCACGGGAGCTGCTTTCCTCTAAGGTCGTGGGCTTTGAGAATGCAGCGGTTTCAGCTGGAAAACGATGCCGCCGAGACTTCTGTTTCCTAATCTTGAGCTTTGGAGTGTTGTGGATAGGGCTGGGGCGGGAGAACTCGGCAGACTTGATAGGATGTGGGAGAACCGTGCAAAGTAATTGCTGGATTTAGAGGAATAGGTCTGTCTTAGCTCGTTGGAGAACAAAGATACATTATACTACTCCTCAAATGATTGACCTATTTACCCAATTCGCTAATGAAAATTACTTGGTCAGCAACGTCTTGAGTCCCTCAGCGGATGGCTTTTCAAACATAAAGGCTGTAGTCACTGCTGAGAACCAGGGGTTGAAATTTTTCATAATCCGAAGTGACACCTTGACTTCTATCCACTGTTGCAGCCACATGCATAGGTATTACATGCTTTACCTCCAAAAGTCTTTACTGTAAAGGGATTTGAATGCAATCAGTGTTGTTAGTGATCTGAATAGATGTAAAAATTCTGTTTCTGAGACGCTGTTCCTGTGGTATCCTGTTCCTTGATAGAGTTTTGTTTTGTTTTGAACACAGCTTTGTGTGAAGCAAGTAGAGCAGTGGTTTTTGGAGCAGGCCCCGTGCATTAGAACGCTGTAAACCCGTGCCTTAGGAGGGATTCAAGGATTGTTTTCCCTTGATTTGTTGAATATGTGTTTTCATCAGAATGGACAGTTTTCAAGTGGCAAATATTCGTTAGCCGTATAAATTTCATGAACACTCAAAGATGCCAAGATACTTGCTTAGCCAAATCGGATGTTAAATTTGGAAGAACACATCAATATATTTTGTTGCCAAATGGAGAAAATGCTTGCTTTTTGCCGTTTATAATGACTTCTTTCACGTAAAGTTGCTATCATTTTGACATTTGTTGCCTGCCTACCAGTTAAATCCTCCAAGTTAGGGTAGAGAGAAGACCGGTTACTCCTTCCTCCTTGACTTGCATTTTGGTAGCATTCTATTGGTTGTGCCTGTCTTGGAGGGCTTTGACAGATCTGGGTGAGGAGAAGGGCTGTGGCAGGAAAAAGTTACAGCAGACAGGAGTGTAGGACCGTGGAGAACCTGGAAGCCACCCAGAGCAGCCAGGAGAACTGGTGACCAAGAAAGTTAAGGTGGGGACACCCCTGGGGCAGCTGGTGGGGGAGTTCAGAATGGCCTAAGGGTTTGGAAATACAGAACTAGGGTTAGGTTTTGTTTTGTTTGTATAGAAGGGGTTAGTTTTAAGTAGAGAAACAAGATCAAATCTGTTTGTGTTTTGTTTGCTAATTTTAGAAAAAATTATAAAGATTAGGAGGCAGTTGTTTGAGTTTTTTATTTTTCAACTCTACATAAATCACTTTGCTTTTTAATAGATCTCTGTGGAATTTCAGTTATGGTGAGAAAGAAATAGGTTAGAAGTATGAGTTAAAAAATACCACAGGACAACACATGCATAGGGTCATGCCTGTAATCCCAGCACTTGGGAGGCTGAGACAGGAGGATTGCCACCAGTTCAAGGCCAGTCTGGACTACATCGTGACCTAGAGAGATCCTGTCTCCAAAAAATCCTAGAAGACAAACTGAGGTACTTACCTCTTCATTACACAGTGTGCAGGCCTTTGTCCCTGGTTCATGTCATGGAACTCCGAAACCCTTGCATGATGAAACCCTTGCTTGGCAGGATGAGCACCTGGGTTACACCTGAGTCACACCTGAGTGTATGCTAATGAGGAGGTCTAGGATGGGACCTAGAGCTGGCCAGGGTTGGGACCTTACCTGAGAGACCTAGTGATTGAGGGTGGGACCTTTCAGTCCCTGGCCAGCGGCTTCCAGGTGGGGTGGGTTGGGGCACGGGGAGCTCTGGGCCCCCCTCAGGTCCTAGAGTCTGATGGAGTGCAGGCCCCTGACGGCTGCCAGCCTGCATCAGTTCCCTGCGGCTTTCACTCCCGTCTTCTGTAAGCCCTGTGTGCTCTGGAGCCCTCCTTCCTGTCAAGTTTGGTGATCCAGGGAATGGGCGGTGGGAAGCCCAGTCTAGCTGGCTGCTCAGAAGTATCAGTGATAGCCTCAGCTGGAGGTTGGCCTTGCCCGCGCCTGTGCCATCAGTCACTAGACAGAATGAGAGCACACTCAGGGAGTCCGTTGAAGAAGAACCCAAAGCCAATCCCTTAGTCATCTGTGAAGAGCGAGTATTTTTCTTTGACAAGATAATTGATATTTTAAAACTTTGTTTTTTCAAAGGAAATTGTGGATAGAGAAATCAGAAAGAGACAATGTAGATATGGCTAAAATAGAGGTGGAGGTCCTGTAGGTCTTGGAACACAGCCTGAAAAACACCTACTCCAGTTCCCTCATTTTATAGATGGAATCGTCAGGAAGGCAAAGTAGGTACAGTTTTTGCCACTTCTGTGTAAACTTGGAGTGAGGGGCCGTTTTATGTCTTTTGTTCATTGCTGTGTTTTGGGGCCGGAGACGGTGCAGGGCAGGTTACAGGTGCTCCAGTTCATTCCTGAATTCCAGTCCTTGTCTCTATTAACAGACTGGGAAGTTTCATTTTAGAAACCTTGACCTTGTTTGGGAAGAGTGGGGAGAAAAGAAGCAGAAAACAGCTTTTGTTATCATTTTCACTTGTTTTCTGAGTTTAACTGCTAAAATGCTTCTCCCCCACATATTTGAAGATCGTGTGACCTTAGCCCTCTTTTCTAGGGTTCCATTCCTGCACTGCAGTTTTGCACTGAGCGGTATTGGGTCTTTTACATTTATTTGTACATACGTGTGTCTGAATATTAGTTGAGTATTTTTCCCCTTTTGAGATTCCTTCCAAATCCAAATTCAGGGGCTTGAATAAAATAATGGTCCGGGAGTACAGGGATATGATTCTACAGTTGTCCCCAACTGATTGACTTGAAAGAGATGTTTTAAAAAGTTTTGGGGGGAGGGAGGTACACCCAGGTTTAACTGACACACCTGCTTTTGTATTTCACTTTTAGGCAACTAATGGCATTCAGTTTCAAATGAGAATGCATTTCATTGCTTTCCTGTGCCCTTTCGGAGAATGACAGTCCTGGCAGTCTCCTTATTTTGAATGCTGAAATGAAAGCAAAATGAAGGCAGAAGGGAATTGGTAGCCTTTCCCGGGAAAGGTTTAAGCAAATGTGCCTTTCACTCCACAGAACTCTGGGCTGTCGGTCCCGGGGCCCCTGGCTCCCCAGCGTGTCTGGAGCCAAGTGCCTTTGACCAAGTGAGCAGCTGTTCTCGGGTTCTGATCTTCTCGTGCGGACCAGAAGTCCAGGTCCTCTCTGGACAGCAGCTGTCTGTCTGAGTACTTCCTTCCCTCTGAAGGTGCTGAGCAGATGCCTCAAAGATCTTACACCAGGACGAGCCCCTGGCTTATTTGCTATCGTTATGTGTGTTGCTCTAGTTGTTAGCAAGGCCTTTTCTCCGTCCCCCCCCCCCACGCCAGGCCTCTGAGATTCAAGCTGAGCAGTTTTGCACTAAGGCATTGAAATGGAGTGGATTTGGAGCCGATCTCAGTGGGCTTTCCTAGAATGAGGCACCTGCGCCATCAGCCATGTCGTGTGGTAAAGAAGACCATGTCCTTTTCAGCCCTGGAGCATCCATTTCTTGCAGTGGACTAGGTGCATGCAGGGTTGTCCTGAAGGTGTGGACTTGTGAAAAGGTAGCTGGCTCTGATTCTGCCCATGTCCCCAAGTACTAAGGACTGAACCCAGGACATTCCCACTGAACTACGGCCCCATCCAACCCCCACTTTGGAATTTTATTTTTTATTTCTTTGTGGTACTGGGGATTGAACTCAGGGCCTTAGCTCTGAGCTTTGTACACACACACACACACACACACACACACACACACACACACACACACACACACACACACACACACACACACACACACACCCCTTTTCATTTGGAGACAGGTTCTCACTATGATGCTAAATTGACCAGGCTGAGCTCAAACATGGGGTCCTGCCTTGGCCTCCCAGGACTCTGGGGTTATAGATCTGTAGCACGTGCCCGACTTGATTCAGCTGAAATTTTTGTGACGAAAACTACTGTGACATCACTGAGCTCAGAACAGTGATGGCGAACCTTTTAGAACTGTCAGCAATAAAAACAGCCTGCTGTGGCACACATGACACTGGCTCGACACCCCTGGCTTAGCGTGTGGTGAGACCTTCTTTGTAGGGTTGTCCAGAGGACTGCATTAAAGGCCACACTGCTTTTTTTTTACTACCTGGTCCTAGTAGATGCTTAGTGGTGAGAGTTCCCCTTCCATTTCCTTCACAGCACCAAGTTAGGGATTCTTTGAATGGCAGTGTCTGTTGGTTGGTTTCTGAGACCGGCTCACTGTGTGGCCAGGCTGGCCTGCAGCTCGGGACCCTCCCTCCTCATCGCGTGGCAGGTTTTCTTCGTCGCATCCCAGTAGCAGCACGGTCAGCACTAGGAAGGGACTTGACTTCCTATGTCCTTACTGCTTTTGAAGACGGGACACTGTCCTGAACTTATCCTTTACTGTGTTTAAGTCCCAAGCCGAGTTTGGCCTTTTCTTATTTTCTTCCACTTTCTGTCCCTCCTTCCCACAAATCATCTTAGAGAGCTTCTACTTATAACCATTTCTGCTGAGAGCCGGCGAGCTTCCAGGGAGTGGGTTTTAGTGGATTTCAGGTTTTCTAAGAATGTGCACCAAAGCACTGAAAATAAGGTGAAGCAGAGCCTGGCCGGGTCTGGCTTGTTTGTGCTGGGAGCTTGGGAAGAGGACAGTGCAGCCTCAGGTGGGTCTCAGTCAGGACTGGTGTGAATGTCAGGTAAGTGTGCGAGTTACAGGCAAGGAGTTTAAGGTGGAAGGTAGTACACCAGTGAGAAGAATGGGTCTGGGAAGTGTGTGGGCTGGTGGTGGGGCCTCGTGCTTGGGACTTGGTCTGTGCGGAGGAGGAGCCCTGAGCCTGGTGCACTGGGGAGTGTCAGACAGAACCTCCCTGCCTTTGTCAGGGAGTGGAGGGAGGCCAAAGTGGGATAGAGGGAGGTCGTCTGGTTTTGACATTTTCCAACCAAACCATTCTTCATGTGTACTAGAAAAAATCGTTTAAAGGGGTCCTGTAGTTGTGTCGTGGCTTGACGTTCCATACTGTGAATTTTGGTTTTCATGTCAGCTGAGGTCAGTACAGGAATGGAATTAGTTATTAGCCTCTGATAGATGATGGCCCTGGGGCAGATGTGTCCCTGTGGTGGGTTGTGTGGCCTGGTGAGAGGCCACACAGGATGCACGAGGTGTGGTGACACTCAGCTTAGCAATGTAGGGGACACTGCCCACACAGATCAAAAAGAGCTGGGCCCAGCACAATGCAGGGCCCTGGGTCCATCGGCGGGGCTGACCAGGTGCCAGT